AACACCCTCGCGGGTTGCGCGATTTTTGACGAAGAAGCTATTCATCTGGATAAGGAGCGGGGAGTGATGGCCGATAGAATAGGGGCGACAAAGACAACTAGGCACACGCTCCTCACGCCTATTTCTGAACGAGTACTATCGAGTTGTCCGAAAGAGTTTGAGATTTGATCGCAAAGTCGCAAGCTTTTGATTTTTAACGTGAAAACTTCACAATTTTTGCTCTATATTGCAAAAATTTTCCTTGCGCTACTTTTAGTGTAGCAATAGCACATATACACCTTATCCCTTGGATGGAGTAGGCGTGGCATTTGAACATGGCACAGAATGGTTACTCGTGGGATATTCAGTTTGAGACAACTGTCATCTTGTTCGGTGTTCGACAGAGACACGACCACAGTTGCGTCAAAATGGAAAAATCTCTCCAGGAGCACAATCACCGCCACGCTTGGTTGAAGAAGCCACGCCTACTCCATGTCAGGGATTTGGAGTGTACGCATACATAATAACTTGAAAAATAGAAATCCTGATCAACACAACGTCGACATTCACACTGCATCTCTGAGGCTGCGTTCATGCTTTGCGGCAGCGTCCACCAGCGTCTACCAGAATCCACTAGCGTTCCGAGCGTCCAGCAGGGCTGCAAAAGTATAGATATCGATCTAGCGTCTGCCAGCGTTTGTCAGCTTCTAGCAGCGCCATTCAGCGTCTGGCAGCTCCTGCCAGAGTCTGCCAGCGTCTACGCAGCGTCTCAAGGAAGTATAGATATAGATCTAGCGCCTACCAGTGTCTGTTACCGTCTATCAGCGTCCACCAGTGTTCACCAGTGATGGGAGTAGAGAGTATGGAGAAGTAGGAGGACATCAAACAGCTGGATTTGGCGTCCTGAATTGCGGCGTGTGCAACCGCACCGCACAACTGCTAAAGTACAGATTTATGCTATTAATGTACAGTATTTTACAGTACGGTGAGGCTGCACATGCCGCGATTCCACGCCTACTCCAGCTGTTTGTTAACCTCCTACTTTATCATACTCACTATTCCCGGTCGCTGGCAGGCGCTGATAGACGCTCGCGGAAACTGGCAGACGCAGGACCGATACCTACACTTCCCCAGTCGCAATGCTCTCCTTGAGTGGTAGAGATTCCTCAAACTTTGTTCTCTACTGCTATCGCTGCCATGATATGCGTGTGAGAAAACAGTGGCTATCGCGCGCCCGCGGGGTCAGTGGTGAAAGGATACAAATCTTTGCCATTCTAGCGGTATTTGGAATTAGGGCTATCTACCGATTCACCGTACCCTGGTGGGCAGAAGGCTTGGTCGTCCTGGGCAGGAGCTATTCCGATATTTGACCCACGCGTGATAAGCATGCCACTTGCCACTGCACCAGCGCCTGGCAGCACTCTGTTCGCTGGAAGTGACGTCAAAAGAGTAGGGATGAATGGCGGGTAGAGGGACAGTAACCAGGGGCCTACTAAGGTAAAAGCCCGGTGTCACCATGTAGCCTCACCTCTCGAAGAGAGGTGTAGCATGAAGACATGGGGTGAGGAGCTCAAGCGTTCAGCATGTTCGCTTCATCCATCGCTTTCTGCTCCGTCCCCCTCCCGCTTCCAACCTCTCAACCACTCTATGAGAACTTTTCAACACATTTTTTCCCAGAATTAAATGTTTTCATAGCCCAATGACAAGTGAAAAGTTGTTGTCAGGATTTATAAATATAGATGCCATCTGTCGTCAATTTAGAGGATAAGAGTGAAGTCTTCGTCGTCGATCAATCCATTTCTATGATGCGGGACGCCCTCTACTTCCATTCAAATCGTTGGGGCCTGTTGAACACGATTTGGCCTATTCAACGATTTGCAGGTTCAGCTGGGAACAATTGATTGTTTCAACCCTCCCAAACAAAGGCATCGTCTCCACCCAATTTGCAATCTTCGGAGGATACAGGGCTGGGGAGCCGTTCTTTGATCTCAGGATCGCGCGCGTGGTGAGCGTGCCACCAGCCAGTACACCACTTACGCCTCCTGCTATCAAACTGCTGCGACAAATGAGTCCAGTTTCATGATGCTGATAGTTTGATTATTGTTGTCAAACTTCCATTCAAGAAAGTTAGTAAAACCACCAGAAAGTAACGAAATGTTATCATGGGCGGGTAATCATCAGTGAAGCAGGGCCTGAGTGGCTGTGACATTCGTCAAGGATTGGCAACCAGAGTCGTTTGCACTGGGACTCGACCTCAACGTGGCAGCGTTGCGCTGTGTCAAGCCGACCAGTTAAAATACACCCTCCTCGTTGCGCGCGCGGCCGTGACTCAGTACTATGTAGGGTCAAGCGTGTGTCGCGGAATTCGCCAAGGGGGTCGCATTCGGGCCCTTTCGGGAGGAGGGGAGGGTCGTTTTTGCAAAGATTAGGACTGTGCACAGCAGCGACGTAGCATGGAGGAGGAGGATGATGCGTGGAAAGGAGTACAATTCGCCTTCCATGGAGGATGTTCATCAGCGCGTCTCTGCTGCAGTTCCTATTCAGTACCTGAAAAGGTGTGCGCGAAGCCTACCGAGCTTTCTAGATGGAAATGTGGGAAATGCAGAGGAGGGTTCCCTATGCAACAGCTAAGAATGACTTTCATATGGGAATCCCCAACGAGCCAGTTTTCGATATAATTAAACTACAGCTGATCCTTTTGCTCTGGAAAGAGAAAGCCTTCTACTTCCAGTGCCGTGTAGATCTCCATCCTACGTGACGGAGGTATGGCTGTTAAAAGGTAAAATCGCTTCGCCGAGAATTTTCCGCGCTAATTTTGTGGTTTTCCACGGCGGGAGAATTTTCGCTGTAATTCAGCTATACCAAAGCTTTGGTAATTATTCGAAAGCGAAAACCTTCCAGTTTGGAAAGCTATGTAGACGAGAGGTCGCACCAACCCCCCAATTATCGCTCTGCGATGCTTGACCTTGCTCGACACTGACTGTATAGACCCGGCTCCACTCCGCTAATCATGAAACTTGCTTTCCACCAGTACTTCATTAGTATGCCTCATGTGTTTCGCGCTATTTAGGACGTTGTTTGTGGAAGGAACGCGTCCGACGTTGATTGCTTCCGTAACAAAGCTTTGCATGGATTTGCAGCAACCTGATCGAAGTGGCAAATATGGAAGTTCGGTGGTTGTTCATTACAGGTGAGATACGATATGTGCACTTGTATCTTATTTACAAAAATATAATACTATATATAATCCGCTATGTCCGTGCGTGTGTGTGTGTGTGTGCGTCTGTCTGTTTGTCACGAAATTCATAGCGCCGGTCCCAGTAGCAGTGAGACATTGGTTCCAAGAAGTGATGTAGGGGTGTGACGGGAACACTATTGGTGGGTGACAGGAAGTGATATCAGTTGATAAGATCCGATAAGAGGCGTTAGAAAGGAGAGGTCACCATATTCATAACGCGGGTGACAGCATCAGCTAGCTCTTGATTCTAACATTGGATATAGGGCTTCGCCGGGCCATGCGCATTTGCCGCGTGCTGAGTTACGAATCGCTGATCAAACACGCTGTTCAAAGGAGTGTTTTATACCAGCCAAAAGCTGAAAAGTAGCCAGCCAGCCAAGAACTGAAAAGACGCCCGTCCCGTCAAGACGCAGGAGCAGCAGCAGCACCTGCATCACAGAAGGGGGAGAGCCGGCCTTAGCCAGCGATCCGACTGGTACGTTCATAACGGGAATATTGCAGCCTGTTAGGTTAGCCGCTGAAGCAGCCTATGATTTATGCATTCTGTCGTCTTAAAGCGTCTTGCTTTGGAATGCACTCCCGCATTGAGCAGTGGAACGCTTTAACCCGTTGACGACATTGTGTGGCCGACAGCCAGTCTGTCTCATGGGACGGTGTCGGACAATGCTGTCCGACAGCATACTGCTCTAATAATAAAGACGTGAGCAACCAAGTTTGTTCAAAAGATGTCTATAGGAGTAGGCTGAAATTCTGAAACGAACAGCACAGTGGTTTGGCCCGGACTGCCCGGCGCCCGCGCCACAGGCGCCGGCGCCAAAATACCTTAGGTCACCAAAAGCGCTGAAAACTTGTTTCGTGGGGTAGCTTGAACGCCTGAACACGAATATCACATTCGTTTCCCGCGAAAATGCCCGGCGCTGGCGCCAAAATACTTCAGGTCACCAAAATCGTTGAAAACTTGTCTCGTGGGTTAGCTTGACCCCTGAACACGACAATCGCTTGCCACAAAACTGCCTGGCGCCCGCGCCAAAATGTCCTAGATCATCAAATTCCCTGAAAACTTGTCCCTACCGGTGAACCGACCCCCTCAACAAAAATATCATGTCCACTTAACGCGTTGACGACGATTTCCGTCAATGGTGGACGACAGAAAGTTTGTCTTGTGGAACGGCGTCGCCCAATGCTGTCCCACAGTTATTATACAACACTGCGCGATTGTTTCACTTTCTTTTCATAAAATTAGTTCAAGAACAAACATTTTCGGGTCGAGGGATGCGATATTGTTCTTTAGGAGATCAAACCACCCCGGGAGACAAATTTTCAGTCAATTCTGTCTCCAGAGGAAGAATTTGGTAAAAAATGGCCTGATTTTGGAAGATTGGAGCAATAAGAGCTAAATTGTGTCAAAGATTCGAGATTGCTATACTCGTCTCTTGCATTTCTCGATAGATTTCAGTCGTATAATTCATTTATTTGGAAATTTGGGGTTGTTGTTGCTCCAGTTCTTTTTAAGTATGTGAGTAGAGCTAACGGTGATCGAATCGTTTATTGGATCAAGCAAACAAATAGCGAATATGAAGAATCACGAATGAATGAGAGGAACAGAGAGGGCGATGGAGGTGCTTGGGTGGCCACCGGCCACGAGGCAGCACCTTATCACTGAATGATCTCTATCACTCCCACTTATCTATTTTTAATAGGTTAATAGGTTACCTCCTGTTGAGTCGTACGGGAGGTTGAAACTTGTATACATGTTCAGACGCGAACGCTGGCTTATAGCGCTTTACGTTTTTTCCTTGGCCAAGGCCGCTTCTGCCGAACACGCCCCCGCTCGGTTTCGTATGTCTTGAGTAGGTAACGCAGGTATCATTGCTTCCCACAGCTTTTTTCCTAGCCGCTTCGAATGCGCTCTTTGGTACGCCTGCGCCTACATGGTTACCAAAGAACTGTCCACTGGCTTCAGGCGAACCTGCTTCAATATACAGTTTGCCTTCAATAATTTTAGAGCCAGCTGTAATAAATATTTGACCTCCGTCGTCAATCTTGAGCAAAGCGTTGTCGAGAGCACTCCAGAGCCCTTGGAATTCACGCCATTTTGAAATATTTCAGGAAACCACGCTGTGATGATTTTCCCACCGCTGGCTATTTGATCTTTTACTTTGGTCAGCAATCTCCTCAGTTTTTGTTCACCCATTTCTGAACAATGGCCACGTGACTATCGATACGATAGGTGGGCCATTCCTCAAGGATTTCCAGTATTCGGTCAAATGATGTGGCCATTTTGGATCACTATTTCACCTCTTTGCCCGTCTTTCTCCAGCGCTAAGGCTCCCTCGCCAGCAATGATATCCGATTAGACCGTCCTTTTGAGGTCTGGATTTTACGGCGTCTTCTTTCAGTTCTTGTCGCACTGCCTTTGGGTCATTGTATGACTTGTCGAAATAGTGGACCTGCTATAGCACTGTGTTGCTTGATTTCTGTATTCATGATGAAACCTTCCAGTCAATGCATATGTCGTATGCCATTTTCAGTACGTCCTTGAGCGACTCAGGTTCGTAGCATACGACACCTTCTCGATGTAGCTTGATTTTTTCCCCGATGTGTATGTCTGTCCTTCTAAAAATGCTGTTGCTAGCCAGGCTTCCCACAAATCCATGATGGGCTCTTCAGCAATTGCCCCGGGAAAATTCGTATTCCAGATATCTTTCAGAGTGGCTCCTTTGAAACACTTGTTCCCGCATAAGAACTGCAGATGCCCTCTTTCTAGTGGGCTTCAGCAGCGTCGCACCGCTGAAATACGAAACATTAGTATAACACACTTTTACTCTTGTCGGTTTTCTACCCTGTTTCCCTCTCTCTGTTCTTGTGTCGATGGGGTCGTCAGGTATATAGCTCGGTACTACTCTCAACATGTCGAACTGTACCCTTAGAGGCTCGTCGTTTCCACCTATTCGGTTTATGAGTGCCGAATTTTGACTAGCCTGTATTACTCTGTAGGGCCCTGTCCATTCAGATACCAGTTTCGGGTGTGAGTTGAGGCTTTCTCATTGGGCGCTGACAAATACACGCGGTCTCCTACTTTAGGGTGTTTTTCTTCGTTAACCTTTTGCCTCGTATCATACTCGAGTTTCATCTGTCTCTCACTCTTTTATTGTACTCTTGGAATTCGTTCATGGGATTCAGCTATCGCCTGCAGCAGTTGCGCCTTATAGTCATCGATATTTTTATCAACTGCGTACAAACTTATGCCACCATTCGGTATGATTTCTGATGGGAAGTGCGGGTCCATACCGTGCAACACGAAATAGGGGCTCTCTCCTGTTGACCGATGTGGTGTCATGTTATATGCCATGAGGCAAAATGCGGCCTCACGTTCTATTCCGTAGGTATCATGGTACTGCAACAAAGCATAGCTACTATCGTACCTTCAGTGTCTCTGCGAGTCCGTTCTCCCTTGGGTTGTATCCTTTGGTGAACAGGTGCTCAATTTTTGTGATCTTGGTCAGTTCTGCCATTATTTTATTTTCGAATTCCCCTCCTCTATCTGACAGGATTTTTTCGGCCATCGACAGCCCTCGGCTATCCATCGTGTGAATAGCATCTTTGCCACAGTTTATCTGTTACCGTTAGTGATTAAGCCCAGCTCAAGTATGTCTACGTCAACGATTTCGTACGGTTTTGTCGTCACTTTAGGCTTGAGTGGTGGTATTAGTGCTGCTGTCCTCGGGTTGTGCACGAAACAGCGTTGACACTCTCGCGTCCACTTACGGATGTCTTGCAACATGCTTGGCCAGAATACTTCCTTTTTCAAGCCTGTTATAGAGCTTATACGCGCTGGAATGCCCTGATGTACCTCCGTGTGCTTCTTCGAATGTCTTTCGCCTCGCACTTTCGGGCACCACAAATACCAGACTTCAGTATACTTTCAAGCACCATCTTCAATGACGAAATCGTTTATCCGCATGTGTTCCTTATGTCCTATCCATGATTTGGTACCATTTACTTTGCCTTTTTCGACATCTTTGATTATGTCAGCGAAATCGGGGTCTTCTCTCAACTCACTCATCCATTTGGTATCTTCCTCCGTCGTTTGCAAACTGCTAACAACAGCTTCCTCGACTTCACTTAGGGACGTATGAATTGGCAATTCTGAAGTTCCTCTGCTCAGTGCATCAGCTACAACATTTGTTTTGCCCTTTCACATACTTTATCTCTATCTTATACCTTTGTATTTCCAAGGACCATCTGAGTACCCGTGCGGGACACGTTATTCCGTTCAAAGAGTGCGGTCAGCGGTTGGTGATCTGTTAGAATCCATCGTTGGCAAGACCGTATATAAACATGTGAAATCTGCGGACTGCAATAATCACTGCCAGTCCTTCCAGATCCGTCACGTGATAGTGTTTCTCTGCTTTGCTGAGACTTTTTGAGGCAAAGTATACAGGATGTAGCTGTCTGTCGTCACCTTCTTGCGACAACACAGCACCCAACCCAGTTGTTGATGCGTCAGTGCATATGACGAAAGGACGTGTGCCCTTCCTCTGGCTTTTTCGATGTCCGGCTGCATCAGTACTGGTGCGGATGATATCATTTTCTTGACCTTGTCGAAGGCCTCTTCATGCTCTCTTGTCCAATTCCACGGGGTTTTCGACGAGGTAAGTGTGAACAGGCATCCTGTTATCTTCGAGAAACCCAAAGCAGAATTTGCGGTAGAATGATGCCATTCCAAGGAATACTCGCAAGCTTTTGACGTCTTTTGGTACTGGATAGTTTACAATGGCCTCAACCTTCTTGGGATCTGCATGCACCCCTTTTGAGTCCACGATGTGTCCCAGGAAGCTCACATGTTCTTGTAGTAGGACACACTTCTCAGCCTTGAGTCGCAATCCAGCTTCTTGAAGTTTTGCACACACTTTTCGTAACAGCTCAATGTGCCTTTTTCTTGACTCCGTACAAATGATAATATCGTCTATATAACAAAAGACTTCTGCTCCTATCAGTTCCTGTAGCACCGTATCCATGAGTCTTTGAAAAACGGCAGGACTAGTACTCAGTCCGAAAGGAGTGACACGGAATTGGAAAAGTCCTTCAGTTGTTGTGAATGCCGATTTTTCTTTTGCCGTCTCTGAGAGTGGAATCTGCCAATATCCGCTGCACATGTCAAGTGTGGAAAACCATTTTTTTCCTCGCCATATTCTGTAAAATGGCGTCCATTGTTGGCAGTGGGTATGCGTCTTGCTTGATTCTCTTATTCAGTTCCCTGTAGTCCACACACAAGCGTAAGTTTCCATCCTTTTTCTCAACTAGCACAATGGGGAAGGCCCATTCGGAGTTGCTTTTTTCGATAATTCCACGATTTTGTAAATCTGCTAGCAGCTCTTCGAGTTTCTTCCTTATTGCTAGCGGGACAGGCCGTGTTTTCATCTTGATGGGTTTGTTGTCCCCAGTGTCTATGTCCATGTATACATTGTCTGTCCCTGTCAGCTCAGTGTCCCACACGGAAAACGCATCTGGAAAGTCATCCAGTACTTCAGTGATGTCGTCACTCAATTCTTCAACATTTGAGCTCTGTTTGATTTGTTCCATCAGCAATGTTCGCCGCTCCTGTTTATTGTTTGCTGTCTCCTTTATGACGCATGGGTTGAAGTCTTCCCATTTTTCTTACTCCAGTAACCAATTTCTTCTCCTTTTCCAAAAATCATTGGCTTATCACTGTGATTCCATTGCTGGTATATTCACCATCTGATTTTTGACTCTGTAAACACCACAGTCTGGTCCTTCTTTGGCTGGCCAGATGACACCCTCTGCCACTTGTTGTCTAACGTCGCAATGTGCCGACACTACCTTTGTTCTGTGTGGTGGGATGTACATCCTCTTTGATACCGTCACCGACATTGATTTGGATTGTCTCCTGCATTTCTTGGATCGGTTTCGTATTGTAAAACCTTCAGTTTAACTACCAGGTTGCTCAGTGAGTTCGTTCTCAGCAATATTTCGTTGTCTCTACTGTCCACAATAGTCAAGGATAGTCTGCACGGTTCGGTTCGGTATAGGAGGATACCGCAAGAAAGGAAAGAAACACGATGATGTCGTCAAAAATGTTATTAAACTGTTACGTGAATACACTCAAGGCGTATGTGGCTTCAGAGAATACAGCACGAATATATGACAAAGGAAAACAAAAGAAAAATAAAGTGGGACCTAGAGAAGAGAGGGGGAGGGTGGTGTCGGGTCGAGACTCGAGAAAGCAGAATGAAGGGCGCGCGGCTAATCTTATGCGAAGCGTCTTCCCGCGCAAATCGACTGATCGACTAAGCCTGGACCAGAATGGTCAAGGCGGGGGGTCAAAGGGTACACGAACGGCACGTTGACACAATATAGAAACACTACTGCTTTGTCCCCCTCCCAGTTCGACGTCAATCTTGACGGCACCGAGAAACTTCATTTTGTTGTCTGATGCGTCATATACTTGCACACCGTCTCCGGTTTAATGACTCAAGGCTATCTACATCGAAACCTCTGTCTTTTGCTCTAGCCAATCCTCCACTCCTACAGGTATTATGCTTATCATTGAACCTGTATCCAGCAAAGCGGGTACACGGGTCTGTAAAATTTTCGCCCATCGTGACCTCCTTCCAACCAATGGTG